AACAAAAGCTGCTGACTTAATAACAAAGCCATCTGAGACAAATAATACGCTGCTAATGGGAAATGTATGAGTGCATGAGGACAAATAAAAAGAAAAAACAGGCAAAATTGAAAATGTACTGTCAGAGCTCTGTACATGTGGAAAAGTTTGATACTGTGAGGCAAATCCCATTTGGACAAGAAGTTACAGGTTGCAGAGCTTTTTTTGATGGATTCCTGACTGAATGAGAATACTAGTCTCATCTCAAGCCCATTTACTCTGCAGGTGTATTTTACACTTTGTCATTTGTGTTGCAGTGCATTCATGATTAGTTGCTAAGGTCACAAACTTTACAGTGTCAAAGTTAACAGTATCTTATAACAGCATGTCCAAAATACATGGTAAGGAATGTGAATTATGATGATGAGGTTTTATTTTTAAGTTGAAAGTTGTTTCTTCACACTGTTCATGTTTGAAACTACAGGGTACGGTGATGTATGAAGGAATAATGTAGTAGAGAAGTACAACAACTGCAAAAACACTGATATTATGATTTAACAATACACATTACCTAATGCTGTTATACTGTACTGTCAATGCTGAGATTAGCCTTTTTATTTCTGATCTGAAAAAGGGGAAATTGCTTGACATTAAATAAATTATCAGGTAGTTCACATTCTTTGATGTCAGGTGTAAAAAAATTGTACAAGGTAATTACACCACATACAATCACTAAAGTCAATAATCAGACTGCTATTATACTTGGTACTTGGAGGCTTGGCAGGTTTATTGTACCCTGGGGTTTCTTTCATAAGAGGTGGCTACTGGCAACATCAGCTGACTGTGACTTTACAAGCAGCCAGATGCCCTATATCAACATTAACACTCGTGAATATTCACATACCCCTGGGTTTGGCATCACTGGTGTGAACGAATGGTATTAGGCTAACTTGGCATGACAACATCACTTGCAGATCATAAATTAAAATTACATTCCTTTCTGTTACAGACCTTGAGTTGCACCACCTACATAGCAAGCTCACACGTTTCGCCATTTTGGTGAATCATCAGCAGAGACAAATGAAGCCTCTCATCAAGTCGCAACTGACCAGTAGAGCACAGAATATCAGATAAATCGGTCTGATCGATCAGGTTTTATCAGTCACACCGATGACCAGCACATACTGTAAATCTTTTAATATCATGTTGTTAATGGCCCATGCCATGTTCTATGGATGTTTCAGCTAATTTACTTCACCACAAAACATGGATACTTTTGAATGTTGGCACCTACTTTCCAAATGTTACCATGTGTTTGAAATCCATTCTTCTCTGGGTTTGGGGTAGCCTTTGGTTTCCATTTGTTTCTGTCTGATATGATGCTAAAAGGGACTGCAAGAAATTATTATTTTTACAATCAATTTAATTAAATGATCTATAAAATAAAAAAGTTTAAAAAAGCACACAAATTTTCAGTAAAACACGACATGTGTAAATGTCTTGTTTTGTTTAACCAAAAGTCTCAGTATCCCAAAATATATGATGAAGAAAAGGAGGCAATTCTCACATTTGTAAGGCTGGAATAAGAGGATATTTGGCATTATTTCACTATTTTTGCTTGGAAAATTACTGAAACAATGAATTCATCATGAAAATAAATGAACCTGTAAAATAAAGCATTACCAAAATATCATATGTAATATTCAGAGTATTTATAGTAAGATGGCTCAAACTAACACGTTGATATGGCCTTTTCACATATCTAAGCCAGTGCACACACATACAAAGATGTGTAGTTATTGTGTCATGTTAGTTAGATGTTTTGGTTTGCAGATGGAAACACTGAAATTCTTAAAATATACGACAATTTTCACAACAGCAAAAAACTAACATTGTTCAGTCATTCTTGTAAAACAGTTTTATGAATGTTACCTGTGCTAAGCTAAGATTATATTCAACATGCCTAGTCATAGACGTTTTCATGAATCTGTCACACAAACTATCCCTTTAAGGAACCTGTCATTGAGGATCACCAAAGCCCACACACAGGGCTTGAACAACCAACCCATCAGCCTACAAATATGAGGAAAAGCTGTCACCTTCAATCATCATCAGAAGGAAAAAGAAGTTAAGCATTTAGCAGTTTGTGTCCATCGGATCAGAGGCCTCTTCGCTGTTTCATGCTCATGCTTTTTTTTATCAACTTATTATGTAATGCCAAAGTGGTACTATTATCCACTGATCACAAAAGTTTATTTCCTTTGAGATGGAACATCTGCTGAAATTGATTTCATGATTGGCTGTTCTGTCACCGCAGCCGGGGTTAGTTAGGCCACTGAGTGTGATGGTGGTAACAAACAGGAAGTTGGGACGGCCATTTAGATGAGCAGGAGTGTCACCGGAGAGAAGGACAGCAGCAGCAAAAGGGGGGAGCACGTGCCACACTGACACCTGGTGCTCCAGATGACAGCTCTGTGGCCAGATGGACCTTGTTACATGCACACATATACCCAAATATGCCCACGCATGCACACTGAGACACAAACACATACTGTACACATATTCACAATTACTGCCGTGCTGCATCCACACTCATTTGTTTGTTTGTTTGTTTTTTACATTTTTTTTTTACATTCAGCATATGTACAAGTAATTACAAGGAGGAATACATGTGACCAAACTGAAGGGAACTACACTGTGTGACTCTTAGCTAGAAAATTAGCCTTCCAATTGCAAGATGTGTGCAGAATGATGGTGCTGTTATGGTGGACAGATTAAAAAGATCCCATGGTGCATGCTTACCCTGTACATACCCACTGCACTCTGCACCACCTGTCATTTCCCTGCTTATGGAACCATCACTCCACCAAAAATCTACCCTGTACTTTATATAAGGGGAATGACTTTTGGTATGAACTAGAGACCTTCTATGGGCTTTCAGGCTGAATTTCATCTGAGAGCTTTGTTGATCTCTCTAGTGTTTTATAAACAATTTTCCAGCTCTTTACTGTGAGTGAACTCCAAATTTTAGATATCCTGGTGGCAAACTTATGGCTTACTTGTCTAGTTCCTCACTAATGATGATGGTTAATATGCACAATTATTGCATTGAAGCTTTGGACCTTATTGTTTGGGGGATCCTAAAGAATGTCTCACAAAGCAATGGTACAACATAACCACCACCCTCTTACCTCCAGAGCAGCAGAGGGTTTCTTCTTCAGTTCCTCACATTTGCGAAACTTGCAGATCTGGTGGCCTGTTTTGCGATTCCGGCAGCTGCTGCACTGCTCGCAGTTAATCCGCCTTCTGCAAGGTGGGCACATGCCGCAACGTTTTCGTTTCTTTTTACCGGAGTTGATAGCAGAGGCCAGCTCACTCTGAGCTGGGTACTCAGCCAGGCTGGCCATGTGTAGAGCACTGTCCGCCAGAAACACTCCAGCAGGCGTCATGATGAAAAGCCCCGGGTTGAAGGGGAAGCCACCCCCTACTCCATATGGGAAGTCAACAGGACCACCTACGGCGTCCGTGACAGACGTACCCTCCAAATCGCTAGCCCCCGAGCCTGCGTCTCCACCGCCAACTCCCACTCCCATGCCCCCAGGAAGGAGCATGTGCTCCATACCGGCCCGCTTTAACAGTGCTGCTGCCTGGGCAAAGTGCAGCAGGCCATTCTGTCCCTCCAGAACCTGTTCCAGGGTCCGATCCAACTTGGCTGCTGTCAATGCAGAGACAGTGGGCTGGGGCTGCGGGGGTGGCTGAGGCTTGGCTGAGTGGCTCTTAGTCTCACTACTGTCTGTGTGTCCATTGGTTGTGGCAGAGGAGAGGGTATACTGGGAGAGGGTGCGGGAGTTCTTAAGGCTCTTACTGAGGGGCTCACTGATGATGCCACTGCGGTTCCTGCGCTCTATAATAGGCGAGTCCTGTTTGCAGCTACTCCGCTCCAGGTCCTCTGTCCGGCCCCCCTCCGACAGCCCGCGAGACATGGTCCAGAGTGTACACGCCTGGGTTGGGAGTGAGGGTGGAAAGGGGACAGGGGTGAGCGAGGAGGGGGAGCAAAGGTCTTTCCTTGGTCCGTTCTGTGCCCTGGTGAGAGTGGTGCCTCACCTTGATGAACCGATCAGCCAGCTGACAACAGGCAGGCCGTGGAGCCTTCTGCCCGCACTACAGCTCAGCCCTCATCCACATTTTTCCATGGGCCATCTGGAAAACTTCACACAGGAAGAGAAGAGAGGTGTGCAAATGACTCATAAATGATCATCTCACCCAAACACTCAAAAGAAATTCTTCATTTTTGTTTAGCTGTGGGCCAAAACATACAATCAACTGGGAGCAGCCGAATCATATTTCATCACCCTTTAAGTTGATATGATTGAACCTGTTAGTAAACAGTTAATTATTTACTCATCCAGCAGTTATGGAGCAACATTATTATTCATTTGGGCTCATGTCTCTGTTAATTAGATGACTGTAGGTCCAATATTCACTGTTTTACTTTTTGCATTCCCTCTCTCTCAACTGCTGAAGGAAATATCCGGCTCTTTAGCCCCAAGATTGTCCAAGCTGTTCACCAGCTAGTCACTGACTGTCTGCTCTGGTCCTTAGCAGGGAGCATGCAGTGGGTTTTCAGCAACGCTGTGGGCCAGACAGCTAAACAACAAGCTAAAACTCACTATAAAACTCAGTAATATTGAAGGGGGCTGCAGAAATACATTGTTTTCATGTTGTAATACAATACATTGTTACTGTAAAAATCCACTTCAGTGGTATTAGGTTCAGATGCCTAGCAGACCTGACATTCTCAGCATACTGATCGAGGGTATAATAATGTTTCATATTCTAAAATTATATAAACAATTGACTCACATTCTAAAATGACAATGAATTTTGTTTGTCACTCAGGTCAGTTTTTCTGGTCTTTAATACCTGTAGTTGGCATAAAGTGCCTTAAAGGAAACAATGATTCTTACAGTCTATGTAGAAATTAGTTTTGCAAAATTAATTTTTTGATAGGTGCCACTGTGTTTTCATTTATAGCCCACTGATGGAGATATGCTGATATTGAATTAGATTTCAACCTCAGAAAATCAAATGCTTTATATCCTTTGATTCTCTTTGCTTCTTCTTTTAACATAGTAATCTATCAATCATAATTCCACAGACTCCTGGCCAGTGAAGCAACACCTGCTCCCTTGGTGTTTCTCTAACTAGTTGGAAAAGGAATTGCAATACAGAGCCTAATCTTAAAACTTCACTCTAATAAAAATATAATTAATTAAGTTGTATTGCGGACTTCAGTAAACTTTATTAATGGCAAACCATACAGTAATAACTACAAGACACTTTTATATTGTAGATAAGGTTTACATTCTGAGGCTTTATAATGGTTTACAGCCTTTAACCTAAAAGACACTGCGTGGACTTTTACTCATCTACAGGTATAGGTATATTTCACACTTCAAGGTAAAGATTCATACACAGAAACAAGTGGAGGGTGCATTATATTTGCATGACCTCTATGAAAAGTGTTTATAACTAGATCAGTCTGATTATTGTGCAACATGTATACACTACAAGTATGTGTTAGGTTAATAAATGCTTTATAAAAAACTAAATTATTGACCTGACTGTAGACTACTAAGAAAGATTTAGTTTACTGTCTAACAATTACATGCCCATTGAGCTGAGTGTATAACCATGTGACACAGTATGTGAGAAGACAAATATCTGCCACTTATTTGACTTTATTACCCAGCAATTTGAGAACCTACTGAAAATCTTTCCAAAAGCCCAGAAATAGAGCTAAGGAAATTGATTGTCTTCACTTAACCTTCATTTCTTTTGATTGCTATCATTTAACTGTGTCAATCAATTATTTTAACTCAGTTACCTTTAAAGACCAGACCTGTAGCGCAGTATAATTTGGCAACATGTTAGCTCAAGCTGAGTGGCGAAGCTTGTGATGAGGGTTGGAGACTGCCCACTGGACAAAGATGCATGTATCCACAGGCTTTTAATGTCAGATTCCTGTGACTGCTCATCTATGTAAAGAAAAACTCTGCTACTATTCTCCTGACCTGTCCGTGTTCACAAACAAGCATACCACCTCCCACAGAAAAGCTGAGGAAATGGCCGGGCCAGTCCT